CATGATGCTACATTCTTTAGAGCTATGCTTGTAGCATTCTGCCTGTTAGCTTAGCACAACAACAACGACAACAACAACGAAAAGGCGCTCTCTCACCCAGGAAACACACAGTCGCAGAGAGAGAGAGCGTCGCCCTGTAACCATGGCAACCGTAACGCTGCCGCCTGGAACAAAAGAACGTAGCTGTCAAACAAACCCAAACAGTCCTGACCCGCGACAATATGAAACAGGAAAGTACCCCAGTGTATTCCATTTATTTCAACAAAGTAACTGTATTCTGAATACCACCTTTTTAAACGGTAACTGTAACGGAATACAGTTACTCATATTTTGTATTCTAAATACGTAACGGCGGTACATGTATTCCGTTACTCCCCAACACTGTCAGTTTTACTTAAATCCTTAACAAAGAGGCAGAGAGGTCACTGCTGACCTGGTGCTGGTTAGATCCACTTTGCTGTAGCATTAGCCAAACTGCTAACAACTCATCCAAACAGCAGGAAGAAAAACTTCTTTCCTTTTTTTTGTTCTGCTCTTTAAACTGGACACACTGGATTCGATTTAGCACACAAATAAATATTTCAAAGTGTAAAATGTGAACATTTAATGCTCCTGCATTTATTCCCCGTAGGAAGATCGGTTGTGTTCCTCCTGAAATATAATATCAGGATCGGTCCTCGCGGCGTGTGCATCGTGAAGAGCTGCGCTGCTTATTGCGAGCCGTTATCTAAAGTGCTTCCACTGAAGTTGGACTTGAATCGAGTGTTATTTTACGCTCTGCTGGGACTGCGTTGAGTCATCCGTGTTGGTGGGATTCCCTGATGCCATTTCCACTCTGTCTGCCTGCAGAAGAACATTTGAAAGCAGCACAAAGTGTTTTTCGACAGTATAAAAGTCGTGTTTGTTCTGACTAAATGTTGAGTGGGCGACTCTCTGCTGCTGCCTCTTTGTTTAATGGAGATATCAGCGAGTGCTAATGAAGTCTGCTAATCCTCTGAACGCTCCGTTAATTCCTGTCCTCTTCAGCCCGACGTTCCGCTGTTGTATTTGTCGGAGATGAGCGGCGGCAGCTGCGGCGCGCTGCTGCTGATAGGTTTATTGTTTTATTGCTCGGCTTCCATTTAAAGTCAATAAGGATTAATGGACTTTTGTTTAACTTGTAAGTCAGAGTTCCTTCATCACCTTGCAGCTCGCCGGCTGTCAATCAGCCACGCGGCATCATGTGACCCACAGGAGGAGGAGCACCAGGCTTCAAAAGGGCAGCACCCACAGCACCAGGACCAGAGAGAGCCAAGAACCAGAACCAGCACCAGGACCAGCAGAAGAAACCAGACCAGCACCAGTAGGAGCTTCTCCTTCTCCTCTGCTCTTTTTCTTGGTTCTTTTCCTCTTTTAACATCTTCTTCTTGCTCTCCTCCAGGTATGCAGTGTGTACGTTGTCCCGCCATTTTGGTTCTCATGGCACTGGTTCTGTGCAGTACCAGAGTTTCCTCTCAGCCAGACAGAGACCAGCTGCAGGACCCAGACCTGGAGCTGGAGCTGGAGCTGCGCAATCATCGGCTGCTGCAACGACCTCGCAGCGCAGGGTTCCTGTCACAGGTGAGACCGAGCACCCTGACAGCTCGCAGCATCGTTTTAGTGCGCCATTACTTTGAAGGAACAGTGGGGAAACAGCTCCCTTCAGATTAAAGCGTCGCGATGATAAGGCTCTGTTAGTGAGATGCTTTATTATCTTTGGAGCCAGGCTAGCTGGTTCCCTCTTATTCAACATGTTTTTATGCTAAGCAAAGCTCACAAGGTAGCAGAAAAGACGGTTAGAGGGTTCCAAGTATTTCTTCAAAGTTCTGCTTCAGCTCCATATTTCTATTCTTTAACTCTGCCAGAGCAGCTTTGCATGATTCACAGCTCAGAATAATCCTTCTTTATCTGATCCAGGGCATTTCCCATCTGCCTTCATTGAATCAAACTCTGATTGGCTGCTGAATGTGTGGGTGGGACTTGTGTTTGCCGAGATGATTATATCAGGATATTTGCTCTCCATGACATCATAGAGACACAAAAGTGGAAAAAACAAAAATACAAACAAAAAGTGATTTACAACAGAAGCCGAGTTACCTCGTTTCATTCTTCTGCAGTTAAAACTGGACAGTTTGTTTCTTCTTATGATTTCTTGCTCTGTTCATCCACATTAATGTTTTGGAACAGCAGGTCAGTTCAGATCAAATGTGTCTTCTTGGGAAGATCCCAGAAAAACTTGGTGCAGTTCCAAGTTGCTCTAAACAGTTCTGAGCTCTTCTGTTTGGTTACTATTCGATGTGTCCTAATCCGTGCTGAATCATTCTGACCTGCTCTAAACTCCTTCATCACTGTTGCCAAACTCCCAGGTGTACCACATGGTTCCAAAAAAGTGATCTAAACTGTTCTAGCTGCTCTTAGCTGTGCTAAAGGGTCTGCTTTGGTGCTAAACTGGTTTCTGGATCCTCAGGAGTGGAGTAAACGTGCGGTGGAGGACCTGCTCGCTCAGATGTCTCTGCCTGAGGCCGACGTCCAGCGGGAAGCTGAGGCAACAGGCGGGAGGATGAACCTGGAGCGGTCTGCCGACCAACCCAACAGCATACCCCCCCGCGAACGCAAGGCCGGCTGCAAGAACTTCTACTGGAAGGGCCTCACTTCCTGTTAAAGCCCCCCCAGGTACGTGACCACCCGCTTAAGCTACACCTACAAACTATACCAGTTAACCTAGATACCAACCTGCTGTCTCACCTGTCTTCTTTTTTGCTTCCAGATGAGGCCACGCCTTCCTAAGACCAGTGGACCGATCCCCTATCACCTGGCCTTCACCTGAGAGATTGGATGGACCAATCAGCAGCTGTCTGGCTGCATCATACCTGAATAATTAATGTAATTATCAAATAAAGAGAGAAATCTGTGAAGTCTGTGTCCCCGCCTCCTCTGTCTGTCTGAACTGTGAACACACATCCAGCTGTGCAGCAGCTGTTAGCATCCTGACAACAGACTCCTGCATGCGTGACCGGGAGGAGCAGTGGGAGCACTGGGAGTGATCGGTGTGTTTGTGTGGAAACAGCAGCAGGCCTTAGTGTTTGAACAGAGAGCGAGAGGGGCGAGTCTAATTAACCTTAAATGGAAAGCAGCGAGAGAGAGCAAATATTGGCTGAAGACATTAAACGGCTGAGAGAGAGTCGGAGTGATTACAGGCAGACACTTTAGTCCATTAAAGGGCACAACATCACTCACACACATCTTTGAAAGCTTCACACTAATGTGCACACTCAAGCCCCGCCCTCTTCCTGAACATAAGCCACCGATTGGCTGCTATGCAGCAGCGTGTTCGTGTTTCACTTTAGGAGAACGAATACGTCCGCTGTTATTTCAGCGTCTTAGACACTGATCTGAGGCAAGGTCACGTCAGCAGAGCCAGGGTCACATTTACAGCTCGACTCACGCTGCTGATCTGTGCTGGCCTTTAATTATTAAACCGAACGTGACGACCACATGCAGTGGCGGTCCTAGCC